TATTATTTTAAAAAATAAAATTCAAATAAAAAAATTAAAAACATACTTTTATTTACTGTTTAATTAAAAAATAAAATATATTATTTTATTTTTATATATTATTAAAAATATATTATTTTTGTATATTATTAAACAATTTATTATTCTATTTTTATATATTATTCAAAATATGTTATTAAAAATATATTATTTTTTATATTATTAAACAATATATTATTCTATTTTTATATATTATTCAAAATATGTTATTAAAAATATATTATTTTTAATATTATTAAACAATATATTATTCTATTTGTATATATTATTCAAAATATATTATTAAAAATATATTATTTTATTTTTATATATTATTAAAAAAGAATTTATATATAATTTATTAAAAGTATATTATTTTTTAAAAAAAGCTTTTATTTATTTTTAATAAAAAATGATAATGTCATTCAATTCTAGTCATATTCCTTCTGCATACCAAATGCATCAATGACAAAACATGTTTCATTCCATTTCCATAATCATTACATTCTTCAATTCATTTCATTCCTACGAAATTTCATTTCATCACACCAATCATGCCGTTGAGTGTGTGACTCTAAAATCTGAAACAAGTCAAATAAAAAGATATGAGAGGTATATTTTATGTTTGGTAAACTTAGGTGAAAATAAAAAGAGAATAAGCACATAGTTATGTTTGGTAAGTCTAGTTGAAGAGTTAACTCATACCTTATAAGTTAGTTCATTTGTTACAAGTGAATTTTGAGTTTATACCTCATAGCTTATGATTGATGGGTGAAAAACTAGTGATACACTAAAAGTGTTTAGTAAAATTAATTGATTATCAGTTAAAATAAAAATTTCAACGGACTTTCTGAAAAAACTACTTGATGAAACTTATGAGATAAGCACCAACTTTTTAATAATTTCATCTTACCGAAATAAACTTATAATTTAAATTCAAGAAAATTTAAGCTAAATAAATAAACTATAAACTAGCTGAAGGTACTTACCAAACACATTCATAGCATAAAGGAAAAAAATAATGTAAAGGGTAGTATTGAAACTGTGTTAATTATACGTGAATTTCTATCTCGAATTTTTATTCAATAGAATATTTTTCCAATTTAAATTATACATTTATTTTAAAATACGATAAATTTTTAAATATTTAATATTTTTATATATAATATATTAAATTGACATCTTTTTGGCAACCAGTTGTTTACATTAATATTGCATATATATAGAATAAATTAATTATATGTACTAAATAAAATTTAATTTTTTCTACAAATTATAATTGAAGAGTAATAAATTTATTATTTATCAATTAATAAATTTATCTATCAAAATTATAATATAATACCGGTTAAAAATAATTATAATATGAGATAAGTGAATCTTAGAGATGACGGGTGTCATTTTATATTAAAAATAATATCACACTTTTTAAGAAGTATTTAAAATTTAAAATAAAACTTATCTTTTTTTAAAAAAAAAAATATAAATATATTAATTTATACTTGCATAAAACGAGGTATTGTATTTGTACTTTGACTAATTTTAATTAACTAGTACTATTAAATAACTAATTTAGTTAATTGATTTTGGGTATAAAAATACAAAGCCCTTAACAAGTATAGGAGTGATTAATGGATTAAGTTTTCACCTACTTCTTTGGAGTAAATTTACTCCAAAAACGACTCATCTGATATGTTCCCTTTTAGTTCAATACCTTTTGATGCAATTTATAGGCAAATTTAGCCCAACATGCTATAGTAAATTTCACATGCTACAGTACTCCAAGTTGATTACTTTACATAGGTTTGTGTGGTGTGGTGGTGAGTATCACATAAATATTACGACAATTTCATTTTTTTTTTTATTTAGTTTTTCAACTAAAGGTGGCCACCCAAGCAGGACTCAATAATTGAAGTTTTCATTAAAAATAAAATAAGATATGTTATGATGCAGTAATTGCACAAGTAGTATATATAATACGAACAAGATAAGGAAAACAAACGCTACCATCTCCAAACATGCGGCCATGTTATTAAAGTACACAAATTGCACTAGTTTGAAAGAAATTAGGTTGGAACAATTGAACTTGAAATGACTAAAGTCGAATCCTAGTTGCTCCTTTTGTAGATAAGCTTTTGCTCGTTGGAAGTATTTACCTGAAGAAAAAAATCTATGAGACAGCAAGGTACTGGAAGCTCTATCTTGACATGAATGGAATTATATTTGGTTGGACACTATTCCACTAGGCCCAAATGCCCGCTTTTGGCCACAAGATTTGACGCACAATTTGATGTTTGATATGACTATGCTTTGTTCCGGTTGATAATTGAGTGGTTACATAAACTAACGTGCTTGTTGTACAATTAGATTGTTATTGATGAATCACATCAATAAATAAATTGAGTTTGAACTTATACAGTTATACTACAAAGTTTTAAGAAGATTTCTAGACACTTCAACACTCAAGTTATGATATGTATATTTCAAAGGAAACTAGTACAATTGCATGCCTATTAGGATTTTTAAATATACTAGTAAAGTGCACGTGCATTGCACGTGGTGGCGAATGGTTTTGCCGATTAAATATCATAAAATAAATTAATTAATTTATTAAACATATCATTGCAGGAACGAAGTAAATATAGAACAAATGAGCTTTCAATAGTTTTTTTTAATGACATAATGATGTCCTAATATAAAAAGAATGAAATGACATTACAATCCCAACAAAAAAAATCCCTAATGGAAAAAAAACAGTAAATAACTAAATAAAAAGAGAGATTTCTTTTCTTTCATTTTGGTTTTGACGTTTTCATAAGAAACGCTCATACTCGTTGGAGCCCAGTACATCAATAGTATTGCAAAATTCTTTTTAATTCATTTGACAAACGTACTTTATTCAAATACTTTCAAATATCCTGGCTAAATCAAACTTCATGATTGTATGATCTTTATAAGGTATTTCTACTGACAGTTCATGAATATCTTTGTAAAATAACCAACCGTATCATTAAATTGTTGAACTTTTTTTTTTTTATCATTTTATAAACTACTTCATTACTGTGTCCATATATATAGACAAATTGTACCTATCCCAGGGAGACATTGCCCCACGGAGTGAGAATGAATTTTATCTCCAAATAAAAGTTAACTTTCAAAATCTTGGTTACATGTACTTCTCTTGAGACGCTAAATTACTTTTTGAAATCACCACATTACATGAAAGTACGTACTGTAAAGTAATTGCACATATGTTCAAGCAAATACACAATGAGATTGTAAATAATCCTATAAAAAGAGGACAATTTCATTCAATCATTTTAAAATGTTTTGATCAAGCTTCGACATTTTTTTTTCCAATGTTATTTATTTGAAAGACAAACGAACTATATAATCTACTTTTTGCAGATAATTGATTATCTTAGTCGTTGCAATGATTGTAGCGTTGTTTATCATAATATCTTTTACATTCATTCAAATTTGCAGTACTTATGTGCCTAATAAATTTTTTGATGTTGTTATTGTCCAATTTATTTGAATCATACATAATGATTCGAAAATTCAAGATAAAGATCCTTTCTTGGACAAAAAAATAAAAATAAAAAAAAATAAAAAAATAAACAATGAGACAATATTAAGAAACATATCATTTGTTAAATATTTGAGAAGAGAAGAATTATAATTCTATTATATTATGATACTCTTAGTCGCTATGTGAACTTTATTATTACGAAGTTATTATAAAAATTTATGTTATGTCTTACAAAATTTTTATTATTTTAACTATATTTAAAATTCTTGATAATATAGGATCATTATTTGTGAGAACTAATTTCTTACATAGTTCATATATTTAGACGCTAGCAAAAAA